GTTCTAGGACACCGGCATACATAACATCCTGGCAAGCTACGTGATGTTCTTGATGTTGTGATAAAAAACGGTGAGATGCCAGAAAATACCCAGTACAGCAAGAACTTTATTAGTTTAAAATTACATAAAACGTTGTTGTCTGAAAATAGCACAGCACAGCAGGCAGCTCCCAATGATAAAAGCCTCTTTAGGACTGCATCAAGATTCTGTCAAACCCAAAAAGAAGTGCTGAGGACAAAAGTATTGGTCTTTGAGGAAAGACAAAGCAACCTAGATATATTGCTTGGTGAAAAATCAGCATCATACTGTCCTTCAAATGCAAGATGACCAGAGGTCCTCCTTTTCCCGGACATGCCCTACACTTCAACCTTCTATCTGAGGATCAGGGAGGAATTCCAAAATGTTTTCTATTTGGGGCCACAAAACCTGTCCTTGCATCATCTGGTGCCTCAGCAGGCAAGCAAGAGGTAACTCAACAGATTTATTACTGCCGCCACTGCTGCAAAGGGCTTGCTAGTTTTTGCCAAGCAATAAACATGATCAAAATGTTTGGCCTTGCAACAATACACCCTAATGACTATAGAAAAACTGTTGCCTTCATCAGAGAGGCAAAGGAAATGGGAAGGAGTCGGCAAGGTTGCAGGTTGCAGGAACACTAACTTGGGCATGATCCCAGCATATGGGGAGAGGGGAAGGGGTGAGAAGACTGTCGCTGACCATGTGGTGGTTTTGTTTATGTGTGTGTGTGTTTTCTGTCAGAGACGTGGAAAGGAAAGGAGGATCTGGGTTGCTGAAGCAGATCAGCAGCAGCAAGGGGAAGGGGTGCACAAAAGTGTGCTATTTGGGTTACAGGGAGGATCAGAGAGCAAATGAGAAAGCTATAAATGAAAGTAATAATTTAAATGTAGATTCAGCTGAGTTGCTAGTAAAGTTATAATTTTAAGCATTTGCTTTGCTCAGAGTTCTCTATAGTGCAAGCCAACAAGGCATTTTAATGAAGATAAGTTCAGAAAACTATGGTTGAGTACATAATAAAACACAGTATATGTAATATAGCTGAAAACAAACTATATGAAATGAATTTATATTAGTGTTTTTTAGTTTTTTATTTCGTAACATCCTACCTTTTTCTTGACTGTCCTACATTTTATGGTGCCTTGTCCTTGCGGTTACAACATCTGGTCACCGTGTTCAAATGGCACTTAAGAAGTATGAATTTTAGCTCTCTCAGGATCCTCCTTCACGCTAGATGGGAACATGTTTCCCATTTCCTTACATATAACCAGTCACAAGACC